CGGGGCGGGGACGGAGCCCGGCGAGGGAGGTGGCGGTTGCGGAAGACCCGGCTGCGAGCGGTTAGGTGGAGTGTGGCGGGCGCGCGTTGTGGGAGTGAGGATGGCCATTACGGGGGGCCTTGACCTTCGGGCTTCTGGGCGACGGCTTAGCGAGTATGAGAGGCGCAGCTGGTGTCCTCCAGATTGAGCGCATTAACCGAGAGTCCTCGGCGAGGAGTGAGCGAGCCGCCCGGGGAGCAGCAGCGGCGTTGTGTCTGAGGTTCTAGCGTTGACAGTCGTTATGGGAGACTCTAGTGCATCGAGGCACAGAAATTGAGTTTAGCGCTCTCCTGTGCGATTTGTACTTATTTTGGCGATTTCAGAGACGGTAAAACAGCTTGAAAGGGATCTGGATTTATTGCCCTAAAAAGGACCTATGATTTATATATTTCCCTTACCTGGGGTTCGATTAACAATAGTGGATTCTATAATGTAAACCCTGTTTTCTGACACGGTGCTGGTCAGAGGTGTGTGGCTCTGGAGCACCTATAGATGTCTAATCAAAATTGAGACATTGGATTTCAAAATAGGAAAATATAATCTCAACTTTCATGTTGATAGCATGTTAAGATGATAGTAATTTGAGTACGCTGGGTTAAAAGTATGATTTAATTTCTTTTAATAAAGTGATTATTGAAAGTTTACGGTTTATGTGACTTTTGTTATATTTTTTGTAGATCTACTCCAAGAAGTACCATCCCTTTGTTGGTGTGGGAAGTGGGAGGATTATCCTTTGACTAAAATTATAGTGCTGAAAACTTGGAAGAGATAGATTTAATATATGTTTGGTATTTTTCTTGGTGACAAGGGAAATTATTTTCTGTCCCCCACCTTTTAGCTTTCTCTTTGTGTCTCGTAACCATGTCCACCAACGAGAATGCTAATGCTAATTCGCCAGCTGCCCGACTGAACAGATTCAAGAACAAGGGAAAAGACAGTACAGAAATGAGGCGGCGGCGAATAGAAGTTAACGTGGAGCTGAGGAAAGCTAAGAAGGATGACCAGATGCTGAAAAGGAGAAATGTAAGCTCGTTTCCTGATGATGCTACTTCACCATTGCAGGAAAACCGAAACAACCAGGTAAATATATTTTAGTTTATGGTGAATCAAGACATTTAATATGGATATAACGTGTCTTATGGTTAAGATCACCTCCCCCCCAGTTCTGATGTATTGCCTTAATTTCTAGGCCTCCTTTGTAACCTATTGAAGCAGATTTTAAGGTTGTATTTTAGGTTTGCTGTTACTGTGGTTTCCCTGCATTTCTAGCTCTGAGTTGGATATCTTTACCTGGCCATTGCAACATGGTGTGTTCAGAACCAGCTACTTTTGTTACTTATTTTCTGGCTTTTGTGGTATCTTTCTACTTGGCATCAGTTTTGTTAAGTTTTTTCTTCCTGAAATAGTTAAAAGTAACTATCTTACCTTTTCCTTTCTGTTCTATACCATATCGTGGCTTTTAAAGTTTAGCTGAAAGTGTTCTCATGTGGTGCACCATTTTCTATCAACAGAATGCAGGTGTGATGGTGGGCCCATGAGATTATAATAGAACTAGAATAGGTATCAAAGCTAGAAAGGAGGGGGAAAGGAGAAACTGGTTCCAGATTTCTTTAGTGTAGAAAAAGAGCATCAAAATTCATAATGGTCTGCCAGAATCTTTTGTAGATCTCAGCAAGCTCCTTAAAAAGCTTAAAAACATGGGTCTCA